CCCACTCCAAGGGAAGAGGTGCCCCCTTCACGCTCGGCGCTCTGAGCTCTCCTCACCCAGCCCCTTGTCTGTAAGGCGGGTCTAGTCTCCCCTGCAGGGCCGCTTCGCAGGGGGATGGGATGGGGCTGTCCAGTCCGCCACCTAGCAAGACAGCGTCTCCCTCCCCGCCTCCCCTTCTCCCAGCCTGACCCCTCACCCGCACTGCCTTCTCTGTCTCCCACACCTGCCCCTATCTGACCCACTTATCAAGGCCTGGGCCATGTCACATGCCCTCCACGAAGCCACCTGCCACCTACCCCTCGTCACCCTTGTGCCTCCTCCCCTCAAGTACCTTGGGTACCTGGGGTTGGAAACTGTCGATCTCGGGGCTCAGGGTAGTGGAAGGCAGAATTTTCGTGAACTACCTACAGTGGCTTTGACATCTTCCCATGTCAGCGCCTACATTCTCCCTTGTTGTCTTTACTGGCAGCACCGTGTTCCCCTGAAGGGTAAGCCAGGGTTTGCTCATACCTCAGATGCCCTTGTGGAGAGGCCTCTTTTACCCAGAGCGGCGCTGTTTGTTTGTATGTATATGTCTGTGTGTATTTGTGTGTGTGGTGTGTACATGTGTAATTACATTTGTGTATATGTTTGTGTATACATTTGCATGCATTGTGCATGTTTACATATGTGTACATTTGTGTATATGTGTGTTTGTATTTGAGCATTGTGTTTGTGTGTATATTTGTACGTGTGTATATTGTGTGTGCATCTGTGTTTGAGTGTGTTTCTCTGCTGGATGAGTCACCAGAGGGGGCTTGGGGAACTGAGTCATGACACTGGAATGTGCTTCTGCCACTGATCACGGGGCGGGAGACGATGCAGGAGTGGGGTCCCCAGGCCGAGAGCGACACACCACTCCCTGCCTTCCGCCAGGGCCACACTTACATGCTCGAGGCTGCAATGCTGTCTCCTGACAAGTTGAGCCCTGGCCTGAAATAAACATGAGAGATGTTTTGACGTGTGATGGTTAAAAAAAAGAAGCCAAATTTGGCAGAGACTGTTTTAAGAATCCAGGAGGAGCCAAGTCTGGCTGGGTCAGAGCCGAGTCCATGAAGAGGAGAAGCTGGGAAACAAAAGAATCATATATTTATGTAGAATTGTACTTTTTAACATTTTTTAAAAATTACTAACCGTAGTGTTACAAAATACAAAAAGAGGTCATTAAAATCTATGTCTGCCTCTGCGCCCCCCTCCCTACCCATCACCAAGTTCCCTCCCAGAGACCAGCAACTCAGTTTCCTGTCCTCTGAGGGTCTGTATGTTCACATGTTTACGTCTATATTGCTTCCCCACAGACAGGCGGCAGCCCACGCCCCCTGGATTGCGTGTCTTGCTTTATACACTTGATAATGTATCTCGGAGCCCATTCCATACACACCTGCCTTCTCCTTTAACAGCTCTTTTTAACAAATAAATAGCATTCGACATTATGGTTGTGCTATCATTTAGGTTAAATGCATTTTTTAAAAGCCCCCCAATTCTCTCTTCCCTTGGCTCATCCTAACCTTAGAACTCTGGACCTTTTATTAATAGGGCTTTAGACTTCAGAGGGAAATTTAAGTTGTCTGTTTTCATGCAAAAGTATCTCAGTACTTCTGGAATGTTCTACACCCCCTTCCTTCCCCTGCATGAGGGTTCTTGTTTGTTTAGGGGATTTCCTGAATCAATCTCTCCTATTTTGCACCTTAAAGAAAGTCACAGTAGCCAGTTGGCTTTTATTGTTTGCCAGCACACTGAGTGTGGTGTTTTTCTTTTGGGGGTGGGGGGAGGGAGGAAGGTTTATTTTAACAAAAATTAACTATTAAGGGCATATTAAATATTAAGGGCATATAGATATATCAAGAGAGCGTGACTAAACAGCAATATTATCACAGACATTGGAGAGGGGATCATTTATGGGTTCGTTCATTCATTCTCATTCATTCATACATTCATTCATTCATCTGTTTATTTTCAGTTGCTCCCTAGCCACAGTGGCTATCTCTTTACTTGGCACTGGGGTTGCCTACCCTCAGGGAGCTCACAGTTTGGAGGAGACAGTCAAACAGGAAGCAAGCACAGCCAGCACATTAAGTTCTATGATGTCTGGGCACAGGGTGCTCTGTGGGGGCCCAACGAGAGACCCTGGTCAGCTGTGGTCGGAGGCAGTCAGGAGAGGCTTCCTGGAGGAGGTGATGCCTGAGCTGTGTTTTAGGGGCACATTCCAAGCAGATCTGGGGCCAGCGTTGGCCGGTGGCTGGCAGACTGTACCAAGAAGTCTCCTGGAGGGGCATTTCCTGGGTAAAATTGCTAATAGGAGTGTTAGAGTGGGAGGGGGCAGATAATAGGCCATAGACTCAGAGTCCAATGTCTGGGTTTGAATCAGGCTCCTTTACTCACTCGTGAGGCCCTTGGCAAGTCCCTTCACCTCTCTGTACCTCAGCCTTCTTCTCTGGAAAGTGGGAGTAATAATAGCTGCTACTTAAGATCATTGGGAATAAAAATACGGCAACTTGGCACACTAAGCGCATGTAAGTGTCTATTGTTGTTACTATGTAATTTCTCAGAGCATCAGCTACCTCATCTGTGAAATGGGGACATTAATAGTATCTACTATGGAATTAATCAAGATGGTCCGTGTAAGGAATGTGATGCGGTGCCAGGTACAGTCGGTGCTCCCTAAATGTTCAGGGTTATTACTATTCTTGCCACCTCTCTCACCTCTGACGCCGATGGGCTCCTGGAGCCTGGGGGCCTCTGTGTCGAGGCTGCAGGAGCCTGGGCCCCCAGCTCAGCTGTCATGTCTGTTTATAGCCTCTGAGACCTTCGGGGCAGCAAGGCAGCTCTGGCCCTGAGCCTTGTCGGGCACTCCCAGCCGAAACCAAACACGCCTCCCGCGGACCAGCTGCAGACGTGTGTCCCTGTCACTTTGGGCGAACACTTGTCCATGGATTCTAGGCCTGGCCAGGCATCCAATCCTCTCCCTTCAAGCCCGAGCTAGAAGAAGGCAGCGGCTTTGAGGAGCTCAGGCAAACCAGGTTCAAATCCCAGCTCCCCCACTTTCTAACTGTGACCTTGGGCATGCCATTTTGCCTCGCAGGGCCTCAGTCTTCTCTCCTGTGAGATGGGTCCATGACAGGCCTGTTGAGAACAGTGGAAGGCAAAGTGAATGGCACACCATCAGCACCCTGTGTTCACCTTCAACACTGTCATTACCATTGCCTCCCAGTCCTTGTGCGGGTCTGACTGGGACACAGGACAGGAAGGCACTGAGACAGAGCGAGGTCCCCACGCCAGCCTGGGCCCCATGACCTCAGAGCTCCCTGCATAGCTAGGGAGTAGAGTTGCAGGGGGGATGGGACTTACGTCTTAAATTGCTCAGAATCGCTCTGTCATCTGTGGGCCACCAAGCACTGCCCTGACTCAGGGTTCTTTCTTAGGCGGATGTGTCAGACACCCCAAAATACACGCAGGCATAATATTGTCTCCTTTCCCTGCCCCGTCACTAGCTCCATTCTCTTTTCTGGATAAGAAGCTCACACCTACTCATTACAAAAAAGTTATTTTCGGGAACATATTCTTCCAACAGACATTTATTCAACAGTTTCTCTAGGCCAGGAGCGGTTCTGAGTTGCTGGGACACAGATTAAAGGCTGTAGATCAGGGGCCACATCCAGCCAGCCACCTCTTTGTCAATAAAGTTTTATTGGAACACAGCCACGCGCACTCACATATTGCTTGCACTGCCTTCTGGGTGGAGTGGCTGGGACATTGACGGGGTGGCCCATTAAGCCCCAAATATTTACCGCCTGGCCCTTTACAGAGAAAGCTTGCGGGGCTCTATTGCAGAGGAGCAAATAAAGATGGCGGGGTTGTTCTCACTCCCACCTGTGTGTGCATCTTGTCCACAGCACCCCTCAAACACCATGGGGTACACAGTGTCCCTAAAAGGTGGCAGCAAGAGAATGGGAAGGAGGCGGGCACTTACTGGGCCAGGTGCTGTCATCCCCTCATCCTATCTCCCTCCGTATTCCTCATCTCCTGGCCTCGGGTCGTCAAAAGATGGTCTCTGGGAACACCCTTCAAACCTCAAAAGCCAAGGCCATTTGAGTTGTTACTGTGCCAGTGGCCGCCCACGGGGGTGGAGTTTGGTTTCTCCTTGACTGCTCCGTCTTCTCCCAAGTGAACAAGTTGAGAAGCCAGCAGTTCATTCACTTAATGGAGATCTATGGGCTCCCGCCGTCTGCCAGGCACGGGGTGGGCCCTGCAGCCAGATCTGAGGTAACCAGCATCTCCATAAAGGCCCAGGCTGAGCGCAGAGACCAGGAACTGAGCAGGTGGTGACAGAACCAAGAGATCCAGGCCGTGTGGGCCCAGTGGTTACCAGTTTGGACTTGCAGGTCCAAGCACCTGGGTTTGAGTTCCACTCTGTCACTTTACCTCCTAAGCCTCAATGTTCTCATCTGTAAAATGGGGACTGTGATAAGCTCCACCTCATAGGTTGCCGGGGGACTACAGTTAGTGAGGTGATATGTGCACAGCTTGGTGAACACCAGGCACAAGTTCAATGCTCCAGGGATGCCTTGCCGGGTGGTCTTGAGGGGGGAAGCATGGCGGCCATGGGAACCCTGGGTGGGGTGCATGTGGGGGGTGCCCTAGCCAGACTGGTAAGTCCTGGGAGCATCCACGGTGGAGAGAAGTTGGGCCTGGCTGAGGAGGGTCGGGGAGTGCCCAGCAGAACCCTGCTTGCTGGGGAGGGTGGCCCCGTTGCCCAGTTTGCCCGGCTTTAGCACCGACGGTCCTGCATCCTGTGATCTTGGGCAAACTCGCACGGTTGGTCACGTAGCGCCCACCAAGACATCTGGACCCACCTCTGAGCGCAGTGGCGGGTTAAGCCCAGTGATATGTTAGGATTTGCGCCAACAGGAACCAGGTTCCGAGCGTTTTCCCTGACGGTAACCCCTGGCCTTCCCTTGCAGGATCAGCTGAAACAGTGCTTCTCCAGGCGGCCCCCCGAGGCCAAGGACACCGACACCCTCGTACAGGAAGCCGACAGCCAGTATGGGACGTGGAGGGACCAGCACCAGAGCGGGGAGAGGTAGGTGGGGCGTGTGGGGCCACTGGCCGCGGGATGGGGCGGGGCGGCTGGGCAGGGGTCAGTGTTACTGGAGCTTGTTGTGTCTGTAATTGTAAGAGTAAACCATTCTTGTTGTAAAAAAGAAATTTAAAAAGTATTAAAAAAATAATAAATGATATGTGAAATGTCCAGAATAGGCAACCCCTGATTTGTGGTTGCAGGAGTGGGGGTGGGGGGTGCAGGAAGGGAGATTGGGAATGACTGCTAAGCAGGTACCAGTTTCCTTTCGGGGTGATAAGATGTTCTAGAACTACATGGTAGTGATAGTGATGGTCACACAACACTGCAAAGGTACTGTATCTCACTAGTGGTAAATTCTATGTTACGCGTATTTGCCACAATTTAAAAAACATTATAAAGAAAATGAAAACACCAGTGATCTCAGCACACAGCTATTAACCTTCAGTAATGGTTTTGTCTTTCTAGAACTTTTCAATATATCTGTGTGTTTACAAATATAAGGACATATACATATTGCGTTATACACTGTCTGCGTTTAATGTGGCCACTGTCGATGGCCAGTAGGTCCGCAGGTGTCAGCCTGGCTCGGAGGGATGCTAGGATCATGGCAGAAGCCTGGAGGTTATCCAGTGTAGCCCGGATTCAGGAGGCAGGCAGGTCTGACTCCCAGCTCCACCCCAGCCGGCTGTGGGATGGCCTGGCCCATTGTTATTCTCTCTCTGGGTCTCCAGTGCCCCTCTTACTGGGACCTGGGATCTCCCAGGGAGGAGGGTGCCTCATCCTGTCTCCTAGAGGCACTGCAACGCCCCCTCCTGGACAGTCCCAGGAGCTGCTGTGCTCCCAGCCCTAGCTAGCAGTGCCATCTGCTGCCACCTCGATGGTATTTCTCCTTATTTTTTGTGGATTTGGCTCAACCCCACCCCATACCCCCAAATCCTGCCTATTTCAAGTAATAAAATCATCCCAGAGCCGACAAAAAGCACCTCTGTGCTCCCGGTACACCTGGGTCGAAGGGTCTGCTTAAGGGTGCAGCTGGGGGGGGAGGGTCTTTCAGGGTAGACCCTCCCATCAGGGAGGTAGTGTCTGGCGTGCCCACACCCCCTTCCCCAGGTAGGGCTTCCTGTGCTTGGACTTTGGTGTCTTTTCGTGGACAGGGCGAGCCTTTTTAATGTAAGGACTTGATTTATTTATAAATTTCCTATTGTATGTGATGCCATTATCCAAGTGGTACCTGACTATATGGTCGTGGGAAGAAATTCCGGAAGTCGAAGAGGGTCAGGGAGGTGGGTTCTGGAGTCAGTTCTGCCCCTTTGGGCCAGCTGCCTCGTGTCTCTGTGCCTCAGGCTCCTCATCTTCCGTGAGGTTAATGTTTCATTTCAGGAGGTTACCTCCCGTCCCACAGCTGGCCAGGTGTTCTAGAGGCATGATCAGCACCTGGCTGTGTGCCCACGGTGGTTCTCCGGGGATGTCTGTCTCCTGCCTCCTGGTGTAGAGAGCACACCCCACACCCCACTTTCTGTGCCTTCTTTACCTTGATACTCAGTCCTCGGAAACAGCCTGCATGACCATGTCCCCTTCCTTCCCTCCTTCCTCACAGCGTGGCCCCTGAGTCCCCGTCCCCGGACAGCAGTGCAGCGTCGGCGTGGAAGCAGCCCTCCAGCAGCCGCTTGTCCTCACTGTCCTCCCCCACGGAGGCCACCTCGGCCGGGGACCAGCATGACTGCCCCAGGGACCAGCGGAGCACCAGTGTGGACCGCTCTAGCACCGACCTGGAGTCCACCGATGGGACGGAGGGGCCGCCCCCACCCGACGCCTGCTCTACAAAGAAAGTAGACGACTTCTCCTTTATCGATGTAAGTCGGTACCTGGGAGCGTGTGTTGGAAACACTTATTTCTTCTTAAAGGGACACACTAGCATCTCCTGGCGAATTGCCCCTTTCCAGGGTAGAATCTGTGTGCCAGGCACCGGTCTGGTGGGTGCAGAGGGCACAGTCTGAGATGGGACTGACGTCTGCATGTGGCTTGGACCTGCCATACACCAGCTGTGTGTCTTGGGGCAAATGCTTTCATACCCCGGAGCCTTGGCTTCCTTATCCACTTGTAACCGGCAGAGTGGGCTCCGCAGCCTCAAATACTGTCACATGTGTTCAGATTGAAGCTGATCCTAGCCCACGCCTGTTCGGTGAGCAGGAAGTCTGACCTCATCCCTGCCAGGTGCTCTTAGTGGATGTATCCCTAGTGCCAGGGCGTGCAAGTCTCTCTGTAAACGGAGAGCAGTGGTTCTAAGAAGGGGAGACCCCCCAGGTGTGGGTCCCTTAAGATACGAAGGTCTCATTCTTCTGCTTCCCTGACAGTAGAGCTGCCCTCCCACCCTCCTGAAGATGCAGCATCAAAGTGATGCAGAATCTAAAGGGACCCGCTCTCCTGACAGCAAAGCCTCATGCCCTCACTCGTAGGGATGGCTGCTCAGATCCCCCTGAGAGAACCCACTGCTTTGGGAGGGACACTCCCTCTAGGGCCTCAGAGGGGATTCCCTTCCTGAGTATAGTCAGCTGGCACCTCTGGGTAAGAACAAGATGGGGAAAGACTCAACTTTAGTCTCTACTGGGGCACCCCACTATATAAACATGGACATGGTATGGAGCGTAGGGATTTCATTAGGTGATGTCTTCAGTTATTCATTCAACAAACATGTATTGAGCTCCTGCTATGTATTGAGCACTCTTCTAGCTTATATGCTCGTATAATGTCACCAGGAGGGGAAAGGCCTTTCCATTGTGTGCCCAGTATGTGCCAGGCACAGTGCCAGGGCACTCAGCTTCATTTGATTCTTGTTATTAACCTACGTAGTTTGTTTCACGGAGAAACTTCGGCTTCGGGTGTTAGTATTAAAATGCAGAAATGCTGGCCCGTGTGCCACCTAAACAGGAGCTTGTGCATCAGTGCAGCTTGACACACTTCTCTTGGGTGGTGCCCTCAGCGAATGGTTCCCTTGTTTTTCCTCTCTTCCTCCCTTCTGCTCCCAAAGCAAACCTCAGTCCTCGACTCAAGTGCCCTCAAGACCCGGGTACAGCTCAGCAAGAGAAGCCGCCGCCGGGCTCCCATCTCCCACTCCCTCCGGCGCAGTCGAGTCAGCGAGTCAGAGAGCAGGTCTCCGCTGGAGGAGGAGGATGACACCATCTGGATGTTCAAGGACTCAACAGGTACACCCCTCGCCTCCATATGTACCACAACCAACAGCAGGAAGGATGGAGGTTAAACACTAGAAGGAACTTCCTGTGATTGAAGGCTATAGGATATTAGAACATAATTATACAGGAAACTGTGATTTCTTACTCTGCACAGCTTATTAGAAACTAAGTAAAAAAATTCTTTTTGAGGGATGATATATTAATTGGGGCTGTGCAGGTTACAAGGGACAGAACCGCAACTTAACAGGGTTTCATGATTTCTACTTTTATCCTTATTAAATTCATCCTATACTCTCTTCAGGTTTGTTTGCTGGTCTTTTTTTCTGAATTCTTTAGTTAAAAGATCAGTTTATTTATCAGTCTTACTTGGTTTCTAGCGAATTATTTTTAAGGCTACGCATTTTCCTCTGAGGATATCTTTGGCTGCATTTTAAAGGGCAGGTAGGGATTAGCCAGGGGAGGGTATTCCAGACAGAAATATTAACAGGACCAGAGAGGCAGAGGTGTGGAAAGAACATTCTGTGTGTGTTGCAGGTGCCTCTCTAAGTGGTTCATGCTGGTAGTAGCAGGAATTATGCTGGAAAAGTAGGTGGAGCCAAGTCATGGGAAGTCATGATTCTTTGCCAAGGAGTTAGGCTTTTTCTGTAGTTAGAGAGCCATGGGAGAGTTTTAAGCGAAATCTTGTAATGGAAACCATAGCAGGTGACCTCCCCACCGTACACATAGACAGCCTTCGTCCCTCACAGGCTACTGTAGGGACTTGTATTCACTTGGCAAACAGTAGGATGTCAGGCCAGCTTGGAGCTGAGTGAGGGGCGCAGCTTCTGACCAGACACCTTAAATGCTTGGAGGGCTCTCTCTCCCTCTCCCATGTCGTGCCTGTGGAGAAGGAAGGTCAGGAGAGCAAGCCCTGAGTGTGTCCTCCTCTGTCAGATGGCCCAGGAAT